TAGAACAAAACTGGAGACAGTGACAGTAGAAACAGAGGCTTGAAGCTCAGACCCTGAAGCTTCTGTTTTATAATGGTAAGGAGAACTCCAAAATGCAGTGACTTTTTTTTCCTGGGACTGGCAGTGGTGCTCGGGAGGTGCCCAGGACCTGCTGGAAAGGAGCCCTTGGGGGGGAGCACTGGGAAGTCCCATGATGTCCTGTCCCACACGCTGGGAGGTGGGGGTGTGTTCAGTGTGTAGGTGAGGATGATAATATCCCCTTCTCGCTGTAAGGGTTTGGAGCAAAACCTATAGGTAAGACAGTGGCGACCAAATCTCTCTTTCTATACTGTATTTCAACCTTGCATCTAAATATCCAAGTTCCTGCTCTGGCAGCTTTCAACCCTGTCAATACAGAACACTAAGCTCTAGATCACAAGGCCTACTGATGCTGAATGGGATGTGTGTCCAGTTCTGTCCAGCACTCTCCTGGACAACACCAGCACATACAAAGTCTGTACATTTACTAATAGAAAACTGGCCTGTGCAAACTCTCTTCTCAAGTAGAAGGTTGAAAAAAGTGAAGCAGAGAATTGGATATAAAAAATTAAAACACGAAATTCACCTACCACCTGACTTAGCAAACCCGTCTAGACTGGAAAGCTTTTCCACAAAAACTTGCCAGCTGTCTACACTGGCCGCTTGAATTTCCGCAAGAACACTGACGATCTCATCTAAGATTATCAGTGTTCTTGGGGAAATATTATGCTGCTCCCGTTCGGGCAAAAGCCCTCTTGCGCAAATACTTTTTTGAAAAATCCCAAATCTTTCTCTCTCTCTCTCTTATCTATCTATCAATCACAGACTGTGATGTCCTTCTCTTGCTTGTGTCACTACCCAAAAATAGGACAGGTAAGTTCATTACTTTTGCTTGACGGAGGCCACATGGTGACCGGAGACACTCAGCAAGTGACCACCAGCATCTCATCTCACGTCATCATGTTGGAAGGGTCTGTTCAGAGGCAGCGTTTTCAGAAGCGTTCACTGATTCTGAAACAAAAGACAGGACTATGCAGCAGTTTAAAGACTAACAAGATGGCTTATTAGGTGATGAGCTCTCATGGGCCAGACCCACTTCCTCAGATCAAATTGTGGAAGAAAATTGGCACGACCATATATACCAAAGTGATACAATCAAAAAAAAGTGAACACGTGTAAAATTGACAAATCAAATTTTAGAACAGAGTGCGGGTGAGGAGGGAAGGTTAGTGTCTGTGAGGTAATGACATTAGGGGTGATAATTGGGGAAGCTATCTTTGTAATGCTATCTTTGTAGTCCTGTCTTTTGTTTCAGCTAGACCAGACTAACACGGCTTCATCTCTGTCACTATTCACTGATGTTGTGAGCCTAGAGACCTCTATGAAAAAATGGGCCTTAAATTTTTTCTGACTCCTTTTGCCATTCTCTGATGGGGTAAGCCTACTTCTTTGCCTCTTACTCAGGTTGAAAATAATGTGCAAGTCCTGATATGGTCCTTTGGTGGGGCAGCTGATCCACATTGATGGAAATGGCGTGAAGTTGCCATGGAGAGACTGCACACAAACCAATTAGAAGACGGCTTATTGAGCCAACCGGTAGGGAGAAGTCTTAGTGGAGCAGCCAATCAGGGCATGGCTGGCCCATATAAGAGGGATTGCTGAGCAGAATGCCCCCTGAAAGTCTGCCTGGATGGGTTACAGAGATGGGTGAGGTCAGGGGAGCAGAAGGGAGCTACAGCCTAACTAGCTGATGACCTGATACAGAGATAAAGAAAGGGTTGTGACCATAGGGAAGTGTCTCAAGGAAACAGAGAGACGTAGGAAAGGGGGTAATAGGTGATTGACGTCACTGAGTATCAGGCAGGGCTGGATCCCCCACCTCTGCACCCCACTTACAAATGAGGGTGGCTACATGCGGCACGGACTAGCTAGTTCGGATTAGGCTTCCTAATTCCACCTCGTTCCACGTTCCACGAGGCATACAGCTAGTTTGGATTAGGAAGCTTAATCCGAACTAGCTAGTCCGTGCCGCGTGTAGCCGCGCGGCACGGGGTCTGAACTAGCCGGCATTTAAAAATGGCACCAGGCGGCTTTATGCAAATGAAGCCCAGGAAATTCAAATCCTGGGCTTCATTTGCAACTCCGGATGACTACATTAACCCCCTAGGGGGGTAGTGTAGACATACCCTTGGGGTGTAGCTGGCCACTAAGGCGATTGGCAGGCCTAAGAACTGTTGGTTTCTTAGGGTGCTGTGTCCAGAAGAGGTCGCAGCCATCTGGGGAATAATAGTGTGGTGGGTCCAGAGCGGAAGTGATGGTGGTGAGGCACCGTCTGAGGAGGGTGCACTGTTAGGGTACGGCTACACTGGGGTTTGTTTTCTGAAGAGGTATGCAAATAGCACTCACATTTGCATACCTTCTTGGGTTTTGTTTCTAGAAGAGGCTTTTCCGCCATTTGGCCTTGTCTACAAGGGGCCAAATGTCATGGAAAAAACCCTCGTTCTATACTGTATAGCAACCTTGCATCTAAATCTCCTGGTTCCTGCTCTGGCAGCTTTCAAACCTGTCAACACAGAGCACTAACCTCTAGTACACAGGGCCAAGTGATGCCGCATGGAATGTGTGTCTGGTACTGTCCAGCACCCTTCTGGACAACACCAGCTCATATAAAGTCAGTCCTTTTATTAATAGAAAATGTCCTGTGCAAACCTTCTTCTCACGTAGAGGTTGCAAATAGCGAGGCGGAGAATTGGTTACAAAAAACCCCATGAAATTCACCTAACACCTAACTCAGCAAACTAAAGAAATGCAAAACAAAAATTTCTCTCATCATCCACTGCTGCAGTGTTACCGGCTGGATGCCTTTCAGCCAGAACCCTCCAATCCAAAGTTTCTTTCCCTTCACTCCAGATGGTTTCGATGTGGTGAGCAGAGAGAAAGGGAGGGAGAGTAAGTTTCGGATATTTCCCTTTGCTTCTCATGGTCATTTCTCTTCTGCAAGAGTCCTCATGAGCCTGAGGTTCTGGAGAAAATGTCCGAGGGAAGGGAAACCCCACTCTGTTTGTTTGTCAAAATGTAGATTCCGCAGTCACCTCCACTTTACTGCCCAAGAATGGCCTCTTCACCAGATGAGAGATGATTTCACTTGGTTGACACATGGCTGAGGCACCAGCTTCCCTCTTGTTCCTAACGAAATGTTTTGTTCATGGTTTTCTGAACTTGAAACAACTCAATGCATTATACAGCACAGTCTTCTAATTTTACATTTAGGCTACGTCTACACTGGCATGATTTTCCAGAAATGCTTTTAACGGACAACTTTTCCGTTAAAAGCATTTTCGGAAAATCGCGTCTAGATTGGCAGGACGCTTTTCCGCAAAAGCACTTTTTGTGGAAAAGCGTCCGTGGCTAATCTAGACACGCTTTTCCGCAAAAAAGCCCTGATCGCCATTTTAGCCATCGGGGCTTTCTTGCACAAAACAGTACTGTGCTGTTTACACTGGCCTTCTTGCGCAAATGATTTGTGCAAGAGGGCTTTTGCCCGAACGGGAGCAGCACAGTATTTTTGCAAGAACACTGACGATCTTACATGAGATTGTTAGAGTTCTTGCGGAAATTCAAGCGGCCAGTGTAGACAGCTGGCAAGTTTTTCCGCAAAATCATATGATTTTGTGGAAAAACTTACCAGTCTAAACACAGCCTTTAATGTCGCCACACAGATTTTACCAGGACAATGGTGATCAGCAGATTGTAAGCTTGATATAGAAAAAGAGGGGCTGTATTGCCACTATTTTACATAAATCTTTTACCCAACTGTTCCTTTATTGTCAGGAGAAGGAAAAATCATCTAGCTGTCAATAGAGCATTAGCTTAGAACTCTATAATTTAGGTTTTACCTTTACTGCAGACCTCTCGTGTGACCTTGCAGCAGGACATTAATTTTCTCCCTGCCTCACCTCATCATTTTTGAAATGAAGATAATATTGTACTCCCTAACATGGAAGTTATGATAATCAAAACATGAAAGATTCTGAGATGTTCACAAATATATGGTTATGAGGTCCACCTAAGGTACTGCAAACTTTAATTATCTACAACAAACTTTATATTTCAAAAAACATTTTCTATGTGCTCAATGTTTAGGGATTTTTCAGATACGAATCAGGTTGAGATTAATATTTTCTAGGCAGCTCTGAACTAAAAACTCATTTATGTTTGCAGCTTCGTCCATTTCTCACTCACAGTCCCCAACGCCATACAATTTCCAGAACCGCTACCCTTCACAGTCTATAATACATCTAAAGAAATGAAGAGCAAGAACAAATAGCTAGCCTCCTGATGAGGTGTAAATATCTAGTGTCTGATTTTTATCTCTGTATTTAATTTATGTTGTAGAGAAAATTCACGCTTTTTGTGCTATTTTGTATTCTGTTCAGTGCAGACTGTCACCGAAGACACACACACACCCCATGCTGTCTCTTAGATACCATGGTCCTATTCCTTTTGTTGTTCCCTTAAGATGAAGTGAAAGACTTTGTGTTGAAAATGTTGTATCCATGCACTATGAATAAAAATAAAGAGACAAAAATCTCTACAACAACTCCCTCTCCTTCAGGCATAGAAATTACACACATTCTAATGAAACCAAGCCAGCTACAAAGAAAACAACCCAGTTACAAAGAAAAGAGACATTTGAAGCATTCCTCTTCATTGCAAATACAAACAAATCCATGGATTCAAAGCGAATGACATATAGTTACATACTCACACAAGTGAAAAAGCTGCCTCCTTTAATTTTGCTGGAGTAATAGCATAACAAAGTCCTCATCTTAGTTGGGGAAAGCAGGCTTTGTTGGAATACAAACAAATAATAATATCAATTATACTACCCTAAACTCTTCGAGATGACATCGGAATGGGTTAGGAATTAAATTCACCTATTTCCACTCCCGATGACTCAAACTGCACTGGGATGAACAAATTCAGAAATTCCTTAGGAGTTTATTCATTGTTTTTCTCAAGGCATTCTTCACCTGCCTGTTCCTCAGGCTGTAGATGAGGGGGTTCAACATGGGGATCCCCAGCGCGTAGAACACAGAGGTTATTTTGTCTGTGTCCAAGGAATAGCTGGAGGTGGGTTGGAAAGTCATAAAAATGAGAATGCCATGATACATGACCACTGCGGTCAAATGAGAGGTGCATGTGGAGAAGGATTTCCACCGGCCCTCAGCAGAGCGGATCCGCAGGATGGCGGAGATGATGTAGCCATAGGAGAGGAGAATGGTCCCAATGGTGATCACCACCATGTAAAATGTAGCAGCAAAAATCAGAATCCCATTGATGTGGGTGTCCGAGCAGGAGAGCGGCAGCAATGGGGCGATGCCACAAAAGAAATGATTGATGATGTTGGAGCGACAAAATGAAAGACGAAATGTAAAACACGTGTGTATCATTGCATTAACCAGCCCCACAGCACACACCCCAGCCACCAGCTGGTTACAACGCTGCCTGGACATGATGACTGTATAGAGCAGCGGTTTACAGATGGCCACATAACGGTCATAGGCCATCACAGACAGCAAAACACACTCAATATCTACAAAGAAAAGAAAGAAATACAGTTGCAAAGCACAGGCAATGTGCGAAATGCTTTTCCTCTCAGCTAAGAAAGTCTGCAGCATCTTAGGGGCTATTACTGTGGAACAGCAGAGATCACAAAAAGACAAACTCCTGAGGAAAACGTACATGGGGGTGTGGAGTTCTGGGTCAATTGTGATTAACAAGATCATCCCCCCATTACAGACCAGGGTGATAACATAAATCAGTAGGAACAACACAAACAGGGGGACCTGGAGCTCCGGACGATCTGTCAGTCCTGAGAGAATGAACTCAGTCACCACTGAATAATTTCCCTCTTCCATCTCCTCTGAGGCAAGATCAGGCAGCTACAGTCATGTGGATGGGTTCAGAGAATCTGTCCCTTCTCTGTAATGAAGTGAAGAAAAGTGGAGATTAGTTCCTTAATAGGCACTTGTATACAACTAGGGATGGACTTAGTGTACAGAACTAGGTGTTCACTGCTGGTCATTCCTGTTGTTCCATATACAATGCTCACACTGTACACATACAAGGAAACACAGGTTAAGTATGACACACAAATACTCCTCTTTACGGATGTGAGCAGCAAACAGTGACTTCTTGCTCAGCTGAGCGAGAATCAGGGTGCAAATCATCTTAGTGTGATCAGATTATTGCTTAGCTCAAGGCGGGGTAAGAGTAAACAAGTGTAAGTCCACCCTCTTTGGGCAAGGGGGGCTCTGTGGCTCAGCATGTGTGTTGGGGAAAAGCTTGTGTGCTCTCCTGATAAAGCTTTTTTCATCTGAAATGTCATTTTACAGTGCTCTATGAGAAAACCAGGGAGTCCAGGGACTTTGTAATTGCCTATTGTTTCCAAGCATGTGGTTTGTTTCTACCGCTAAGATTGGGCGGTGACTTTTATTGTTGTAGGTTATGAATTTAGTAGCTGCTGTACGACGCTGGTGTCTGTATGTGACTGTGATGCAGGACAGTAGCACGTACCTGCTGAGGTGAGAGATGTGGTGTTTCGCCATCAAAAGAAAGTGCCAATTTTCAATATTCTGGAAGTTTTATACCCAGATCTGTGACCCATGGGACATGCTCCCTGAAGTAATTGGGAATAACTGATCTCCGGAGGCAAAACACCTAATTAAGCTACTGAGTGAAGCAAAATCATCCTGGACAAAACCAGTAGCACGTACCTGCTGAGGTGAGAGATGTGGTGTTTCGCCATCAAAAGAAAGTGCCAATTTTCAATATTCTGGAAGTTTTATACCCAGATCTGTGACCCATGGGACATGCTCCCTGAAGTAATTGGGAATAACTGATCTCCGGAGGCAAAACACCTAATTAAGCTACTGAGTGAAGCAAAATCATCCTGGACAAAACTC